GGGATGGGTGTTCAATCATTGTGTGAATAAAATTCAATCATGAAATCTTTGTAACTGTATCTCATGATGGTTCAGTAAGAAAAGAGAATTAAATGGGGGGAAAATATACCAAGTACTTGAATGAATTAAGCTTTCTATCTAAACTTATTTAATAAAGTCCATCAAAAAAAGGAAGAAGGAAAGAAAGAAAGAAAGAAAGAAAGAAAGAAAGAGAAAAAAGTGAGAAAGTGAGAAAGAAAGAAAGAAAGAAAGAAAGAAAGAAAGAAAGAAAGAAAGAAAGAAAGAAAGAAAGCAGGCTAGGGAGCAGAGGGATAGTACTGAGGATATCCCTGAGCACAGAGCCAGGAATAAGGCCTGAGCACCAGCAAGTATGGGCCTGAAACAAAACAAAATAAAACAAAAAAAGAAGGCTATTCTCATTTGTATCATGGAAAACCTAGAAGACATAATGCTGAGTTAAATAAGCCAATCTGGAGTGAGCAAATACTGAGTCCCCTTGGAGGGGATTCCTAGAAAAGTCAACTCCCTTACAGAGATAAGGAGAGGAGAATGGTAGCTGCTTGAGGCTGGAGAAAGAAAGAATGGGGACTATTCAAGAGTCTAGAGTTTGAATTTAAGAAGATGGTAAGGTTTAACTTTATGTGAAACATATTTTCCCTCAATCAAATAAGTTTCAATTTTATTTTAGATATGCCAAAGACCAGAGACACAGTACAAAGGTCAAGGCATTTGCTCTGCATGCAGTAGACCCCAATTCAATCCCTTGTATCACATGTTCATCCTCCTCCAAAGTATATCAAAGGCACTTAGCACCATCCAGGAACATAGTAGGTGCTTAAGGAGTATTAGAGGTTGATAGTGTTAGGAAAATAAACTTCAGGAATTATCATATTATCCATCCCTTGGATTTTACCAATAAGAAAATTGAGTCCCATGACAGAATAGGTTCAGTTCAAGGTGAAGTATAACAGAGTGGATGACACTAATCAAGCCTTCCCTGGCCCCAAATATCCTCCCTATCCGATTAATACTTTAAAACAAAAGGCAAGATGTCTGAATGCAGAATGCCAACCACACACTTTCTTTGGTGAGGTCTTCTCTGCACATCTGGCCCTGGAAACTGTTTTCTGGACATGGGAAGGCCTAACTGCCCAGATCCTGCACCGACTCCCTTTCCCCCTCTTCCCCACTCCTGGCTCCATTCTAGCTGGAAGACTCTGGTCAGAGAGATCTCAAGACTACCTTTCCTGTCATCACCTGGAGGGTGAAGTCAGTGTCCTGGGTGGGATGAAGGGAAGAATCTGCCTTCAGGAAAATTTAGGACCTTGCCTCAGGAGGCCTCTATAAAGCCTCCAGATTCTCAAAGCAGAGCTTATTCATGGTACCCAGAGTTAGTTTCTGGACTCACATCCTTGAGATGAGTCCATACTTCATTCTATGGCTGGGGGACGGGGGGGAAGCAGGGGATCATTTGTTTTTCTACTGGTTCTAAATGTCTAGATATATAGTTTAGAAGAGTCAGTTAAAATTCAAAAGGTAAAACCAACTTAGAAGCTTATGTGGAGCTTGGCTGGAGCCGTAGCACAGCGGGTAGGGTGTTTGCCTTGCACGCAGCCAACATGGCCGACCCAGTTCGATTCCTCCGCCCCTCTTGGAGAGCCTGGCAAGCTACTGGGAGTATCGAGCCCACACCACAAAGCCTGGCAAGCTACCTGTGACGTATTCGACATGCCAAACACAGTAACAAGTGTCACAATGGAGACGTTACTGGGCCTACTCGAGCAAATCGATGTGGAGCTTAAGATCACATGATCTTAACTTGGAAGAATCAATCTGCCACAGCTAGAGTTGAACCCAGAAAAATTGGGAGTCACGTGGGCTTCATTAAAGCTAGCAGAAGCGAATTTGACCACCTTTGCACTATCTGAAGGCTCCCAAAAGGGACCATTTCACACAGGTTTAGACCATCTCAAATCAAGGTGGTCTGGAAAACAAGAGACAAATCTGGTTGTATTCAGCTCAAACTAGTTGAGGTTTGCTTCGAAGTGGACAGAACCCAATATCCTTGTGAGTTCCCAGCATTCCTCTTCTACCTGGGTTTCATCTTCAAACACTTTTACAGTCCAGACTGTCTTATATTAGCTGAAACCAGAGGGGAACCAACCTGAAAAAGTTCATATCCACTCAGTTTAGAGCTGGCTGATTATAGGTGGGGAGAAAGAAACCAACAAAGATGGATCATCTTTGCATCCTCAAGCTCTGAACTAGAGTCTTTACCCACATTTATCATTTAATCTCATTAGTCCGGTGAAGTGTGCATAATTAACCATCATTTTCAGAGGTAGAGTAGCTAGCAGAAGATTTTGTTTCTATTAAGAGGCTGAGTTGGGATGCAAATATGGTAGCTGATTCTGTTTCTATTTTGTTTGTTTTGAGGCCACACCTGGTGATGCTCAGGGGTTACTCCTGACTTTGTGCTCAGGAATGACTCCTGATTGTGCTTGTGGAAGCATGTGGAATGCCAGGGATCAAACCTGAGTCTGTCATGTGAAAGAAAAGTGCCCTACCCGCTGTTCTATTGCCCTGGCCCTGCTTGTTTCTATTTTAATCTGTTCTTCTCCGTGTGAGAAAACTCTCAGCAACAGGTAGAGACAGGGCTTTAATGCATCCGAGTGAAGAATTAAGGGAAACTTTTAAAACCTTCAAAATTCCCTGGATGGAAATCTGTAATGGAATGCATCACCACCATCATCAACAAAGATCATCATTTCTTGTGGATTAATGAGCAACATCTGGATGGTATTCCTGGCATGGGGTATAGCTCTGGGACCATTTGTTCTCCAAACCAAACTTACTTAAAATGCTGGATGCCTGAGATAGACCCAAGGGAAACACACTTATTATTTTTGAGTGAATTTCCAGGGAGAGGGGTGTTATACAATGTCTAGACTATCCAAGCTGTCAAGGAGGGAGAAGGTTTGCCAAGAAACAGAAGACAGGAGGATTTTTACTTCTTAGTGGGGAGAGCACCTTGATCTTGTTCATCAATTGCTCCAGTCCAGGATTTAGGAGTTGGATTTAGTGCTGACTCAGAAAGCTGTTGGTCCCAGAGGCTCATGGTCATCTGAATGGCCATAGGCTGACCTTACTGGTGAGATCAGATCCAAACACACAACTCCTGGCACAGTCATGATTTTTCTCTGATGAAGCAGAGCTGTCACAAGCCCACGCATGTTCAGTCATCTGTTACCCACCTACCTCATGCCTCTTCCTCTCCCTAAATCTTGCTAAATCTAGATCATGTCAGGCCCTCAGCTCTAGACTTCTTTTTGAATCATGATGAGACACACAGTTATAAAGTTGTTCATGATACAATACTTCAATCATACAATATTTCAACTCCCATCCCTATCCATTTCACTAGAGAACATTTCCCACCACCAGTGTTCCCAGTTTTCTTCTAAAACTCTGGCCATTTTGGTGGGGAGAAAGAAACCAACAAAGATGGATCATCTTTGTATCCTCAAGCTCTGAACTAGAGTCTTTACCCACATTTTATCATTTAATCTCATTAGTCCCGTGAAGTGTGCATAATTAACCATCATTTTCAGAGGTAGAGTAGCTGGCAGAAGATTTTGGAGTTTGATGAGCCAGCTGCTAGCTATGACTGGGATACCTTAGGACTCTCTCCAGTCAAATATTGTGCCCTGAGATAACCGAGAAACCAGGGGGCAGGGTTGAAGAGAATGAGAATAAAAGAATTTTGCAGCAGTCTCATGTGCCATGGTCATTTTCAGAGCTCAGTTAGACTTGCCGATTTCCAGTTTACATAGGACTGCCAGGTAAAATAGAAGAGATCCAGCTACACTGAAACATGACCATGAACAGCTTTGTAACTTTGTAGCTCAGAGGGATTCAATAATTTTAAAAAATAGAAATGAGTAAAATGCCTATAGAATGCAAAACTTTAACTTTCAGATAAATGTATTTTTAGCATGCTATTGAGTCTGAAATTCAAACTTACCTGATTGTCCTATATTTTGATTTAGTAAATCTGGCAACCCTAAATTGGCAAGATGGTCTATTATCTTATGAGTAAAAATTTAGACAGTTTAGGTATTCCTCTCACTATTCAAATATTTTATTTGCTCATTTAATTCTTTGCCCTGTATTCAGCTTTGTGTTCTGCATTTTGATATCACAAGTGATATTTTAATATTCACTTTTATTTCTCTTCTTTGTGTTTATTTTTCTAATGTTTGACCTACTATGCTGAAGAATATTTCAAGTGTCATCTTTTCTCTTTTCCTTCTGAAGCAAAGTCTAGTTATGCAAAGGTTCATCTCTTTTCCAAATCACTCATTTCTTAATTTTTAACACATTTTGGAAAAATGTACAGGTGTAAAAGCAGAAGAGCAGCCTGCCTTAACTGTGTAGCCCAAATCCTGGTGTTGCCTCCAGTGAGAATCACATTAGACAATAGTTGACTTCCGGCAGTAGTCTCCGCCCACCCAACCCAGCTCGAGGCCTGTAAGCCATGACCTCAGTGTGAGTTTGAGTGAGGGTGTATGGGAGTTCTGTCAGTGGAAGTATATTAAGTTGTACCTATGTGTGTATGAATGTGTTTGGGGTTATGTGTGTGTGTGTGTGTGTGTCTGTGTGTGTATGCATATGAGAGAGAGAGAGAAAGAGAGAGAGAGAGAGAGAGAGAGAGAGAGAGAGAGAGAGAGAAAGAGAATAAGCTGTGGATGAAGGTTTATGGAGTCACAACAGTGTGAGTGTGAGCTTAAGGGAATTAATAACCAAGGCTGTGTGAATGTGAATGTGCATGTGAGTCATGGTTAGATGTGTGATTTTGTGTACATGAGTCATAGGTATGTGTGAGAAAGTATCTATTTGAGTCATGGCTTTGTGTGTGTGAATATGTGAGCCAAATTTGTGTGTGTGTTTTTTTTTGTGTGTGTGAGTGTGCATGTGTGCACGTGCAAGGAGGAGCTCACCTGCAGAGAGCAGAAGGCCTGAGTGAAGGGTGGCATCCGGACCAGGTAGGAGGCGACAATGATGGCCGAGGAGTAGTGAGTGTTGTAATGGCACTGGACGGTCATGTCTCCTGTAAAGGAATCACAGGCCCAGAATGACTCTGCAGCTGTGCTGACCTACGTGGCAGATATGCACGCCATGCTCATGGATGGATGGATGGTCCTGATACTAATTCCTAGGTGACTATTTTAAAGCATAAGAGAAAAATGCAACCTAAATTTTCCTTAAACACTATGCATTAAGATTGAGAAGTGAATAGAGCTAAAGAAAGGCAATAAGAACACCAGCAGTGAACATGGCAAAACAATAAATAAAGCAGAGGGAATATGTATATGAAGGAAGCATAAAAAAAGAGCTGATAGAACCAGACAGAATCAGGCCCTGTTCTTCAGAGGCTGAGATCTGAAAGTCTTACATGTAGCCAGGGTGCAAACAACTGGATTAGAACATAGTTCTATTCCAATATGATAATTTTCAGGCTAGAGGATCATCTATATAGCTCCAGCCTATCATTCCACCGAGTTCAGACAAACAGCATGGCTGGAAAAGAAAGTATCAAGTTGGGGTCTACCCACCTTCAATCTTCTCAACTTCCTTAAATCTCTGAATAAATTTCAGCTTCCTTTCCTTGGTCTGAGCCCCCATGGGCTTTGAAAGATCCCGGAAAGTCTTGGGATTTGTCAAGTTCAGCGTCTAGAAGGCAGATGTGCAGCTGGAGTTAACTCCCCTCAGACCCTCTGTGCCTTGGGGGACTTTGGGAGCCTCGCTCTTTAGTTTTATGGTTCTCTTTATTGGTTTATTGTCATTTGGTCTGACCCCCCTCTAGTGATTAGCAGGCGTGCTGGGGTTTTATAGCCTCGGAGTCAGTGATCCACAAAGACTTAATAGGGGAGAGATGGAAAATAAGAGGAGGGGAAGATTGAGTTCACACTGAACCTGTTCCAAGTTGACCCAAATCAAAGCATTGCCACCAGTTCCCAAAAAGAGACTTTCAAAAGGATTCCTGTTATCTGTGAGGCTCTTGTCTCCTGTCCTCCAAGAGCAGTTTACTTCAATAGTTCAAGCACTTTGCTTCGACTCAAATGGATTTTCTAGAAAGATGGATATCCTCTGTTTGGGGAAGGGAACAGCCTCCTTTACTGAAGGTTCACCAGGCAGTGAGGCATAAGACACAAACTCTTTTCCCACCCTTGCCAGTAGAAGTTGGGTAGAACTCCTTAGGGTAGATGTCCTCAGAGATGATTTCCTTGAACAGAGATGTCTGCATGTTAGCAGAAGTGTCATGGATGCTCCTGCATGTCCAGGTCTTCATAGGAGGGGATTCTCTAAACCCTCTTCCTTTTGATTGGCAGTGAGCCATCTGCAGAAGCCAGGTAGGATCAAGGGTGGACAAATTCCCCAATAACTCCGCTGAGGGTCAACACATGTGAAGACCCACCCTTCAAAGACAGAAAGGCACTTCACTGTGCTCACATCTCCTTATTTTCTAGAGATGACTGGACTTTTAGGGGACATGTCCCCATTTCTAAATGCCAGTAAATAATTAAAATTGGAGAGTGAACAGAAGGGGCCGGTGAACCATCACTCTGCCACATGTGAGCAGGGGATTTTAACTTTCATTCTTGGAATCTTTTGATCTCAGATCATTAGAGCAATGAAAGCAACAACGTATGATGGCAATGCCACTTTTGCTGGATTTAGTGTTGTATGTAGGAGAATGAGGGCCTCTAAATACTGAGGTTCCCTCTCCCAGGCCTTAGGGCGATCAATCATCAGAATAGCCCTCATCAGGACTGGCAAGGTTTGGTGAGAGCCAAGACACTGATTTCTGCCTCTGTCTGATGTTTGTCTGTCTCTCCTGCCCCTTTCTCTCCCTGCCTCCCTCCCTTTATCCTACCTGCATGGTCTTTTCTTTTCTGTGTGGATCCCTATTCATTGAACCAACCAGGGTTGGCTCCTGGCAGAATCTCAGTAGATATTCTCACTTGCCTTCCCGTAAGCCAAAAGGCCCCTGTGCACATGTCAGCTATAGCCCTAGTCCTGTTGACCCTCCCACATGGGATTGGAACAGGAAGTCACACACCAAAGAGTTCAAAATGCAGGGTCCAAGAACAAAACAGCCCTGGGACTCAAGGGGGAACTAATCTTCACCATGGAAGACTCTGAGTGTGGGGTGCTCTAAGGACACCTGTGTGGCACCTACAGAACCATTATACCTGTGAGGTGTAGTCGGCCAAGATCCAGGGAAACACAGGATACTGCATGTAGTCATTGTAGGTCCTGCCAGCCAAGGTGTTGAGGTACATGAGATACTCAAAGTTGCTCACATCCCTTTTCTATTGTAAAAGACAAAGAAGAGAAAGGCATTAATGGAGATTTGCATCTTGACTCTCTGCAGGGAACCTTCCCTGGGGAGGTGTGAACAGGATGCACACACCACCGCTGCTCCTGGTGCACCTTGTGTACAAGCCTGATCAACTCAGTGTCTACAGTAATTTCTGTAGTAATTCAGGGCAGAATGTTTAGGAATCAGCACAAAGCAGCTCAAAGTCGATATAGCAAGCCTAGGCTGAAGACATAGTTTGAGAGGTTAGACCAGCTCAGATCCTGGCACTGCATGGTCCCCTGAGTACTGCTGTGTACAACCCCCAAGCCTAGAGCTAGAGTAGTCCCTAGTAGCCACACCACTAGGTGTGGCCAAGTATAACTGTCACTGTCCTATCCTCCCGGTGTTCATCAAGTTGCTTGAGCCGGCCCAGTAATGTCTCCATAGTGACACTTGTTACTGTGTTTGGCATATTGAATACATCACAGGTAGCTTGCCAGGCTTTTCCGTGTGGGCAAGATACTCTCAGTAGCTTACCGGACTCTTCGAGAGGGGCAGAGGAATCGAACTTGGGTCGGCCATGTTGGCTGCTTACAAAGCAAACGCCCTACCCACTGTGCTATCTCTCCAGCCCAGCCCAAGTATAAACAAAAAAGATAAGTCATTCTTTGTATTAACAACGGGACTTGTTGTGATCAAAATAATAGCAAATTGCCAATTCCTTTAGAATTAAATGAGCTGGGAGGACTTCTCAGTAGGAGAAAACCTTCATCAGGCTAAGTAACCTGCTATCCTCTGGGACTTTAGCCACATTCTTCCCCATGTTCCCCCATGTTGGGCAAGTCTTGCCCTGTGCATGGGATGCAAAGTCACCAAGGCCAATTAGTGAATAAACAGTCCCACAACATTCTCTCTCCTTTCCTTGGCCTGATCCTAGGGGAATATTTTGATGAGTGGTCAAGAGGTACTTTCTTCTTTCCAGGTGATCTCTAAGGACTAGCCCTCTTGGGGTGCCTTCCTTGCACTGAGAACCCCTAAACTATCAGGTCATCCAGATTGAAACCATGTGTGCTTTTCAGGATAAGGTGTGAGCTCTTATTCATCTCTTGAGTTGTGTTCTTATCTATATGTGCATGTCATGGCTGAATCCTCTACATGCATACTGGGCATGTATATAAACATGCACACACACCACACTAACTGATTTTCAATGCTCAAGAATCATCATCAGCCACTGAGTTGCTGGAATCTTTTCAGGGAAAAGCTCTTTGGGGGACATTTTGGTCAGTGACAAAAACAAAATCCCTCCTGATCAATCTTTCATGTGCTTTTACTCTTCTTCATTAGAACATCAACTATTTTATGATTTGTACTCCCAGAGGGTTTTCTTGGGTCCAGAGTTCCCCAAGGAGATTACAGTACCTGCCACCTCTGCAGCATGGTCCTGTCAGAGCCTGGGTATCTCCTGTAGGACAGAAATGATGGTCAATGATAGTGACTAGACATCTCAAGGCATTAACAGAAGAGAGAGGGTGTTTTGTGGGTTTGGGCACCCAGAATTGTCATATATATCCCAACACATATAGTAGCTCTCCTTGTTGGGGTTATTAGACTACCACCACAAATCTTCTTGCTCTAAATATGCCCTATTGAGGGTTAGGTCCTTACTATCACCATAATTCTTTTAATTTTCTGTTTCATTTTTAGGGTTTATGGGTGTTTGGGTGATACCCGGTGGTTCTTGGGAACTACTACCATCTTTGTGCTCTTGGGTTACACCTACTAGTGCTCTATGGACCATGTGGTGCCAGGGATCAAATTGCATCAGATGCATGCAAGGGAAAAAACCTTAATCCCAGTGCTATGTCTGTGACCCCTGGCTGTATGTCCTCTCTCCTCCCCTCCCCTCCCCTCCACTACCTCTCCCCATCCTTCCTTTCCCTTTCTTTTCTCTTCCCCCCTTTTGTTCATTTTTTGGGCTATTCTTGCCTCTGCTCAAGGGTTACTCCATATTTGTTGCTTGGGGCTCACTCCAGCCATGCCCAGGGTTTCATGTGTGCTGAGTATGGAACTCATCTCCCACATGCAAATTATGCACATTGCCCCTTTCAGCTTTCTCCCTAGCACTGTTTTAACTTTTCATGAAAATGTTTTTTGTAGGTATCTCTGAAATAAGATAATTTTAGAAGATTTAGCATAAAAGATTTTTTATTGATGAAATTTACTTAGAAAGATACCTACTGAGAAAGAGAGGAAATATATGTTCAAGGAAAAATGCAGGCTTAAAAGACCAAACCTTACTGTGTGTGTGTGTGTGTGTTTGTGTGTCTTTATTTTTTTACCCCCAGTAATGTTTATTGAGACACCAGGACTTGCAATGTTGTTCATAATAGAGTTGTTTTAGGTATACAACATTCCAAACCAATTCTATAACCAATGTTTCCTTCCCTCCACCAATAACCTCAGGTTCCCTCCCAACCCCCAGTCAACCCCCTTGGCAGGCACATAACAAATTTATTTCATATTACTTGGTCCAATAAAATGTAAAGGAATCATAAATACAATTATCAGAAAATAAATCAATAAAAGTCAATTTGTGCCCATCACCATCATTCTTACGGGTCACAAAATTCTCCCACTTTAAGAATAACCCATGGAGAAGAGACCCAGGGACAAGCAAACAGAGACTGAGAGATATCCCTACCTAGCTTTCCCACTGCCATATCTAGGGCTGCTCGGCTTTTGTGAATATGAGACAGGTAAAAACATATTTTATGTTAATATATATATTGACATAAATGTTTTACACAGCCATAGACCTAACAACTGTGAATACAACAAAAGATGATTAAATATTTTAAAAGACTCTCGTAACATCTTCTATTCAAGAAGTAAATATGATATCAGCTTCCAGAAACATTTCACCCATATGTGCCTTTGTGCTGGCAGAGCTGATAGATTTTTCTGATCATCACACTTGGGATCCCGTTATGGGAGACCCAGGCAGGTCTTTTCCTGGTTTTGTGAGATCCGTGTGTCCATGAGCTGCTGACTATGACAAGCTTGTCCTTGTCCACAGGTTTCTGTGACCATCAATAGACATAATCTCTGAATTCAATTGTAAGTATATCTATGAGATAAACTATTGGTGCTGATGCCACTAAAATGCTTAAGTCTTTTCAATTCTGCTACCTATTGCTGAAAATCTCCTCTTAAAGGGCTATAACCAGTTTCAGCTTCTACAGTGCATACGAATGCAGATCAAAATAAAGAAATAGCTTATGTTAACAAATCTGGTAAAAAGAGGTTAAAAGTTAAGCAAGGATTTGTAAAACTCAGTTCCTTCACTTCCAGCATATCCTTTTCTAACTTTTCTTTCCCCACAGAACTTCAGAAGACTTTCCTTTCACTGTCAAGATCAGGTCTTTGCTTGAAATGTTCCAACAACCCAACACAACACAGCCCAGCTCAACCCAGACCATACATATAGTTTCACCCATATGGAGACCAAACCAAACCAGACCAAACCAAGCTTCCTCTTTTCAGCCAAGCCCTCAGATCCCAGTCCTGTGCAGGCGCACTGAAATTCACCCCTCCCTGCATTCTCCCTGTTCCCCTCCCTATATCCAGGCTCCTCTAGATTAGACCCAGATGAGAACTGCCTTCCCACATGCCCCAGCAGGCAAGTCTCTTCTCATTTTCTTATCACATCAGCATTGTCTCATGACTGGTCCAAGCTCCTCATCCCTCTTCATTCTATTACTTCCTTTGCACGTATTGCATAAACAGAAAGCAGCATCCAAGCTGCGTTCACCTTCTCTCCTCTGCACAGGGAAATCATCTATTTGATCAGTTTTATCCAGGAAAACAACAGAACAGACCCAAAGAAATCCTGGTAAAATCTGCTACTGTTGTAGCATAGGCTCAAGTGAAGATTGGGTTCTCCTGCTACAAGTCTCACCTATCCCAGTACCTAAAAGCAGCTTGCTTTGGAGCCTATAAAAACATGAGAGCCCAAGTTGAAAGTGCTGAGAATGACCAGCTTGAAAAGGACATAGGATGACTGTGATAGGGATATAAGAAAATGGAGTTGGTATGGCAAGATTTGCTAAGCTGGCTACTTTATTATGGAAATTTGAGAGTAGAATGGGGAGAGACAAAATGTGCCTATTAGGAGCTAAGAACTGAAAGATAGTCACTATCATTTTTGTCTTTCAGAAAAGATTCTAGAATTTTATTTTGGTCTTTTGTGACATTGACACCTTACGGAATGCTATACAGAAATAAAGGTACTTCACCTTTATGTTCCACATTCAACCAAAAATGAGCTCCAAGGAAGATCCCTAAGATTTTACCACCATCAGGAAAACACATCAATACTGACAATGCCAGGACTTCGAACCAAAAGTGAGTTCTAATTTTTTTTTAAAAAAAAAACCTTTCTAAAAATCCATATCTAAAGACAACTCTAACACCTCTGAGAGTGGTTTATATGAGTTTTGATATTTTCTGGTACTATCTTTCTTTAAGAATTTATCATCCACTTGGGGCTGGAGTGATAGCACAGCAGAAAGGGTGTTTGCCTTGCATGCTGGTTTGATTCCCAGTATCCCATATGGTCCCCTGAGCACCGCCAGGAGTAATTTCTGAGTGCAGAGCCAGGAGTAACCCCTGTGCATCGCCAGGTGTGACCCAAATGCCTAAATAAATAAATAAATAAAATAAAAAGTCTTAAAAAAAAAGAATTTATCAGCCACATTGTTCCACCAGTAAGTTTAAGATTAAACAAGATAAGGCTTGAGCAATTGCATGCAGCTGACTTAGGTTTGATCCCCAGAACCACATTTGCATCTCCAAGCCTCTCTAGGAGTGATCTCGGAGCACAGAGTCAGGAGCAAGCCCTAAGCACTGCTAGGTGTGCCCTCAGCCCAAACAAAAACAAGATTAAGAAAAATAGCCAAGATGGCTCTTGGCTTTGCAATGCTTTCCTGAAGTATGGTGGGGGCAGTGTGGGAAAGTGCACTGCCTTTGGAGTGAATAGAACCTTGGCTCAAATTCTGTCTCTACTGCTTGGTGGCTCTGAAGTACTGCCCCTTTCACTTAATCACTTAACTTCCCGTTAGTCGTCGATTTGCTCGAGCGGGCGCCAGTAACGTCTCCATTTGTCCCTCTCGCATGCTAGTGTAGCCCAATGGCATCTGTTCGCTCCGGGAACATGAAGGGCCTCAAACCGATCGTTCATGATCTTGACGAAGAAGTCTGACCATCTGGTAGGTGGGCGGCCACGCGGTCTTTTGACATCCCGTGGAATCCAGTCGGTAACAGCTCTAGTCCAGCAGTCGTCTTTAAATCTCATTACGTGACCAGCCCATCTGATTTTCAACATCTTGGCAAATGAGACAGCGTCCCTGATTCTTGATCGTCGACGGATGTCAGAACTCCGGATTCTTTCTCTCATTTGAGTGAAACGTGATATTCCAAGCATATCTCTTTCTATTCTTCTTTGGGAGACCTGAATAGCGTTCTCATCTTGTTTGCGTAGGGCCCAGGTCTCCGAGGCATATGTTAATGCAGGAAGAACAGTGGAATCAAAGAGATGTGCCCGGAGCCGGAGGTTCTTCGTCCTCTTAGCTATTTCTTCAACGCTCTTGAAGGCGTTCCAAGCTGCTCTCTTCCTCCTGCGCAGCTCGGGTGCCAGGTCATTTGTCATGTTGATCATGTTGACTTCTCGACCTAGGTACACATAGCTGTTGCATTCGGAGATGGTCGTTCCGTTGAGAGCGAATGGGGCGTCAGAAACGAGGCTGTTTCTCATAAACATTGTCTTCGTAAGATTCAGCTGTAGTCCTACCTTTCCACACTCACGGTCAAAGTCGGCCAGCATTTGTGCCGCTTGGCTGATGTTTGGTGTTATTAAAACAACTGCCCCTTTATTCTCCAAATTTGGCTGATCATACAGGAGTGATGAGAAAGCTAGCCTGGGTGAGGAAAAGGCTCCCCAGAGGGGTATCATTATAGCCAATTATTATGGCATAGCAAAGTAGGATCCATCCTTTCTACCCACGGGGGGGCAAAGTTGCAGAGCAGGCCAGTCTCTGGGCAGTCTCTTTCCTGGAGCTGCCAGTACTTTCCTGTGTGGTCTTAGTACAACCGTGCTATATCAGAGCTCCCACTCAGTAAGCTCAATAGTTAACAAATGGCTGAATTTGGTCTGGGACCCACAGGGCAAGAGAGTAGAGCCTTGGTCAACCTGAGATGCAGCTGTGATGAAGTATAGAGTAGCCCAAGTCAGCGAGGAATAGATCAGGAATTCCTCTGTCTAATCTTCAGAAGGTCCAGCAGGGCCATGCCAAGAAGTCCTCCCCACCCCCAAGGCAAGTATCAGAACTCCAGACTCTCTTTAATAAGAGCTTTGTGAGTAACCATTAGCTAGTTTGAGTTTAGCTACATCCTTATGAGGAGTGA